GAGGCTGTAAATCTTTATGGGAGCAGAAAGCCTCATCTTTCTCCCATGGAACAGCTGGTAGTTTTCAACTGCTGACCTTGAGGTTCACAGCCTGATTCGTAACTACTACGTTACCAGAGTTCCTTAAGTCAAGGAGAATAGGACATGCTTAAACCCACCCAGATAGCTATCTCAGGAATTAAGCAGCCAAGACCCTAAAGGTAGAGTGTTTGAACAAGTCTGTTGCTTTATTATTCCTTTTTCCAAAGAATGTTATCTTCTTATTAAAATAGATGAAGTGTACATCCAATTGTAACTTACCCTACATAATGTGCCTGCTCTTTGTGAAAAACAGGACGGTCTTGAGAAATTATTCTCTCCATCCTCCAGTCCTCTGCTTAATAAAGCTTGCACTGGATCTCTCCCCGTCTCTGAGATTGACTATAGTGATAGGAGGCAAACCCTCGGTTTGGTTTGGCAACATTACTACAACCAAAAATGTGCCCAGGCATTGCCAAGTGTGCCCTGAAGGGCAAAATCACCCAGGTTGAGAACCACTGCCCTAGCCTACTTGCCTGCCAATAACCAGGTATATAAATGAAGCTGTGTTAAACCACCCAGCCCCAGCCAAGCCAGCTCAGACCAGCTTGACCCATGGAATCATGGGTGATAATGTGCCATTTTAAATCACTATGTTTGGGGGTGGTTTGTTCCATAGTACAAATGGATATACTTGACTGTTGTTGTTGTTGTTGTGAAGTGCCATCGAGTCGGTTCCGACCCATAGCGACCCTGTACAGGGTTTCCAAGGGTGTAAATCTTTACGGGAGTAGAAAGCCTCATCTTTCTCCCGCGGAGCGGCTGGTAGTTTTGAACTGCTGACCTTAAGGTTCGCAGCCCGATTTTTAAGTGACTTGACTAAGGTCACTTAAATATGAAGGGATTTATTTATTTTACACAACAGAAGCAAAGAGGTTGGAAACTCAGTCCCAGTGCCGAGCTAGTAATGCCTCCAGGACCCACCCAGATCACCCTTGTTTTTCCACTTCATTGTCCTTGGAAGGTGTGCTTCATTCTCTTGTTTATTTCCTGATGATTCCCAAGATGGTAGCAATAAGTCAGAGCTCCAAGAGTGGTTGTGGGATAGGGTGGGAGTTATTGTTGTTGTTGTGTGCTGTGAAGTCGGTTCCGACTCATAGCGACCCTGTATAGGGTTTCCAAGGCTGTTAATCTTTACGTGAGCAGAAAGTCTCATCTTTCTCCCGTGGATCAACTGGTAGTTTCAAACTGTTGACCTTGTGGTTCGCAGCCCGATTCATAACTACTACGCTACCAGAGGGTGGGGGTAGGGAAGGAAAAAAGTCAAAGAGCAAACAACTTTCCCCAAGTGAGACCTTACATTTTATTCCAGGAGGGAAGCCATCCAAGGAGCTTTCTCATATGCTATTTATACAGCCCTAGCTGCAAGAGAGTCTGGTAAATTAAGTGGGTTAGCTTCTAGCCTTTATAGTGGTGGAAAGCAAGGATTAGGGGGTGTGTGAATGACTTTGGGGTATCCAGGCTTCAGTATCTGCTGGACTGTCTCTCTTGAGGTCCCATGGCTTCTTGCCTTTACTTGTTGAAAAATTACTGCAGCCTTCTCTTTTTGAAGTCTGGTTTTGTTTCTCTGAACACAAAGGTGGACATAGACTCTCCAGTCCTGGAACTGCATCAAGACGTTCAGCTCCAGAACCACTGAAGATCTTAGTGGTATACCAGTGCCCTACTTCAAATACCAAGAACAAAGGTGCTGAGAAGCCCAAGCTTGAGTCAGGAGAGAAATCAAATGGGACTGGCTTGAATTGGGTATCAACCACTCAGCCAATCAGCTATGACCAAGGGATCAGTGCATAGAGGGCAAACCTCAAGGTGGAAGTGCATTCTCAGAGAAAGGGAGGCAGGGGCTGAAGAGACGCCCAAAGAACAATCTAGTTCATGGAGTGTAGAAAAGCAGGTGCTATCATGATTGTAATGCGGTGGTGATAAAAATGGACACATCCTTTAAAAGACCTAAAATATAGTGACATTCTACAAGCATTATATTTAAATTTTTGTTGTTATTAAGTGCTGTATACATGCTCAACATGCATGGTATTTTCCATATAACTTGGCTCCCAAATGCAAGTCAGCTACGTGAGCTACCGCTTAACCAAAAACTGACTGCTTTGGACTTCGGGGAGGTGGTACAATATAAACAATACCATGTACTGAAAAGTCGACTTAAGGGATTTTCGAGAATATTTTTGAGTGAATGTTCAGCTTCCTCACTAACTTCATTGTATTTTTATTTATTAAGGCTTTTATTGTGAATTGAGTGAAGGTTTACACGGCAGATCATCAGTTTTACATTCAACAAATCATTGCAATGATTACAATCCCCTCCATGTATCATCAGCTAACAGTATTTAGCTCTATTACCCTTTTTATTTTTATGTACACATGCCATAATGAAAATATGCATTTATTTAAATGTCCAAAGGGCACATTTTATAAGCTAGCCTCCTGCCCGCAGGCACACTGTTTTTCTCAGTCCATGGGCCTATAGTCCCCTACTGTTCTGTCTCTCTATGCCATGGTCTCTGCCACCATCTCTGTTGGTTAAGTTTTTCTGGTTAGGATCCCTTGTTCCTCTTATGCTCTTCCTCTTGAGGGTCCCTACACTGACTTTAGATCCTAACCCTGTGTAAGATATATTTATACTGGAATGTTCCAAAAAGAGTTTCTTTTCTTTTCTCCTACTTTTAATCAGTATAAAGAATACATCTGGTTTTGAAATATCAAAATATTTTTATTATGACTTTTAAGAAATAAAAGTAAATGATACCCATGAATTCTGGCTCTTCCTCCTATTTTGTTCAGCCATCCTGGTCAAACAAGGAAGGTAGAGGATGAATGGCAGGAGAGAGGACAGAACACGGGTGAAGCAGAGTGCGGTAAACAATGGCCTCTACACACACATACACGAGGAGTGTGTTCCACGGGCAGTGTCCACTCTTTGGTGACTGGGAACTTGGTCTGTCTTTATGGCCTTGGGGCTTCTTGGCGTGGCCACATGGGCACTATGAGATGAGTTAGAAACCCAAGTTCAAGACTCAATTCTTTAACTTATGAGTTGTATGATGATGTTGTTGTTGTTATGAAGTGCCGTCGAGTCGGTTCTGACTCATAGCGACCCTATATAGGGTTTCCAAGGAGTGGCTGGTGAGCTTGAACCGCCAACATTGTGGTTCAGAGTGGCCTTGCACACTAGTGTGTTAACCCACAGCGCCACACCAGGAGTCCTGTGTAATGTTGGGCCAGCCATTTTTAACTACTCTTAGCCTCAGCTTCCTCATTTGTGAAATGGGGAACTTAATACTATTTACCTCCCAGGTCTTCTTGTTGTTGTTGTTAAGTGCAATCGAGTTAGTTCCGACCCATAGTGACCCTGTTTTTAGGGAAGGATTAAATAAGTGTTTTCAAAACTGCAGAGTGCCATATAAGTGTTAGCCATTTTGACAGAAGTGATAAAACTGATTGGCATTCTAAATTTATTATAATACATTCAGCTGTAAATGCCTTATACCATGGTCCTCTCTGTAGCCGAGATTACCATTCTGCCGAGTGGCCACAGTACAAGTCTTAAATATTCTCTTGCAGCTCCTTGGAGGTGTGATATTTGGGTACATCATGACCCAACCATGGACTCAACGTAATTTATCTCCTCAGGCCTGGGTATCTGGATTACAAACTTTAATGCAGTCTTCATATGCCTGACTGTACATACACTCATGAATATTTTTTTAAAAGAATGTCTTTTACCACACACTCCAAAATCCAGTATTGTGCCAAAGACCAGTTTAGAACGCAAAACATTAGACTAATAATCTTTAAAGTTCTATAAAAGCATCTTAGTATTTTAACACAGAAGAGTCAATCTGACTCACAGAGTATCGTGTGAGGCACTTCTGGATGACATTTCTCTAGTTCCGTCCACCAGGTTTAGATAACAAGAGGTTCTGGCTGCATTTGCTCGGTGAGTCTTTCTTCAGTATCTCCCTTTCCTGGTCCGTCTTTGGGGTAGTTTTTCTGGCTCCAACCTTCAACAAGTGAAAGAAAATACATCAACTCTGTAATTACACTGAGATCTCAAAATGTTCCCTACAAATAGCTTTATTTACCATGAATAATTTTTTTGTACACAAAATATGTTTGTTGTGAAAATAAAAATCAAACAAAGAGATGAGAAACAAGAAGCTAAGATGATATATTACCATCACCCTACTCAAAGATAAGCATTGCTAATGTTTGGGTATACACCTTTCCTTATCGGCATATATATTTATTTGTATTTATAGTCTAAATTTTGCTCTTTTTAGAGTTTCATGTTTTTGAAACCAGGGGCTCTGTACGGTGACTATGAAGTTTCTTTCTCTTGAAAAGCTGCGATTGCATTGAATGAGTTCTAAATCTTTGACGTCTTAAAAGGAGCAAATGCAGGCTATTTGATGGGTTCTGTCTAGCCCTCTGCTTAGCATGTTACCCCCAGAGGAAGGGCCACCCTGGCTGCTATGTCTGTGATCCTGCCCGCTGGCCATCGATGACTGGACACTTGGAACCAGCTGGGTTATTAGATGATTACTCCCAGGTTTTGGGGTTATATGGGCTCTGACATGCTACTTGCCCCCTGGGCTGGTCCTCTGAACCAGGTGCCTGTGACAGAGTCCCTTCCTGTCACATGACTGGAGAAGAAAAAAATCAGCAGACTATGGAGAGATGCAGAGGTGGCATGCAGGACATATATGTGCATGTGTGTGAGACAGTCCATTTGATCTAATGGCTAACTGTTCTTAAGGCCTCATTGCCTTGTTGTTGTTAAGTGCCATTGAGTCAGTTCTGACTCATAGCGAGGTTTCCGAAGAGCAGTTGGTGGGTTTGAACAGCTGACCTTCTGGTTCCCAGTCCAGGGCTGATCTTACAGAGCCACAGCTGGACCTCCCATTCCTTTAGACCTTAGCTTTGATGAGGCACCCATTCCTGTATCCTTTTAATAACCTCTCTTCTTTCCTAAGTGGGTTTGGTTTCTGTTATTCATGACTTGAGACTCTCCAACCCTAAAAAACCAAACCCACTGCTTCCCATCCCAGTTGATTCTGACGCATAGTGACCCCATAGGGCCGGGCAGCGCTGCCCCACCGGTTTCCAAGTCTGTTATCTTTATGGAAACAGACTGCCTCGTTTCTCTCGAGGAGCTGCTGTTTGGTTCGAACCGCTGACCTTTCAGTTAGCAGCCTAATACTTAAACACGGCACCACCGGGCCTCCTTTCAAGAAATCTCCCCTCCCCCAGGGTTTAAATTGCCAACTCTTTCTCCTGAAGATGGTTGTCTCTAACCATCATGATACGTATATATTCACTTGAGAGGAGGAGGGTGGGCTGCAGAGTTGAGTTTCAGCTCTGCCACTTCCTCCAGGACCCTCAGTTTTGTCACCTGTCAAACAGGGATCACGGCATTTGTCCTGTCTTCCTCAGAGAGCTGAGGAGAGATTCTGAGAGAACTCAGTGGAAGGGGTTGTTAGGACCATCTCTTTAGCTCTTTCTTCTGACTTTAAAATTACCTTGACTGTATTTTGAGACTGAATTCAAAGTCATTTCAGAATGAGAAAAGCTAAAATGTTTATCTCTGCACTAGTCCATGAAGTTAGTATTAGTTGCAAGGCCCAGGCAGGGAGAAGACAAACAGACAGCAAATTGGAAAGCCTTTTTGCCTTGAAACAACCTTTCCTTTATCTTCCTTTTTGGATGGTTGCCAAATGCCAGAGTCCATACTGGGTGTGGGCTTGCCGGTTGGAGTTGGAGCCAGAAAGTTTGTTAAAAATAGAGTCCCACATCCCCATGCTCCTGCTCCCCCATCCCCCAACACACACACACCCAGGAATGCCAGGAGCTTTGGGAGGAGACTGCCGAAGGCACATGGGATGGCTGACCTGGAAGAAGATGAGACTGGGGAATGTGAAAATGCAAATGTTGTGGGCAGGAAGGGCTGGGGAACCCTCGAAGAGTCCACCGAGTAAAGACAGCCACTGGTGAGCTGTTCTGATATTCGGAACCACGAGCCTTACCCTTGGGATGAAAAAGAGGGATGGAAGCCAGTCATTTGCATGGTGAGACCCAGGTGTAAACTGTTGTAGTTAAGTGCCCAGTCCCCCACTCTTGGCTACCCCATGGCAAAAGTGCACAACTGGATCTGACTTGGTGATCCACAGGGTTTTCACGGCTGACCTTTGGAAGTAGATCTCTAGACCTTTGTTCCTAATCTAGTTGAGTCTGGAAGCTTTGCTGGAATCTGTCCAACATCACAACTCAGGGTATCCAACAAACAACCCGCTGATGTTGACTCAATTTCTACTCAAAGCGACCCTACAGACCAGAATAGAATTGCTCCATTAGGTTTCTGAAGCTGTAAGGCTATGGCACAGCCCTCCTCATCTATCTGTCACTGGTGCGATGGAACCATTAGCCTTACAGTTAGCAGCCCAGTGCTTAATCCACTGGGTCATTGGGCACCTCAGAATATACTGAAGTGGCTATTTCTGGCAACTGCAAATTTGGCTCTAGAAAGACCCCGGCTCAACCGCAGGCCTCAGTTTAAACATTTCTTCTTCAGGGAGGTCCTCTCCTGTCTTCTGGATTGGAGGGTAGACTGTGAAATACGCCCCCTTTAATCCTTTGTCCTCAACACACTTTGCATGAATAATTATTTAATTAATTACTTGTATTTACTTTTAAAAGTCCCAAGAATGTAAGCCAGTAAAGCAGGGATCTTTATTTGTTTATCATTGATCTAACTCAGTCTTTCTGGACCCTTCTTTTTATTATCACCTTCCTAACGAGCCTTGTTTAGTAGTCCTGGTGTGGTATTGTGGGATAAAGCACCTGACCACAAGGTTGGTTTGAACTGGAAGGTCAGCGGTTCAAACTCACCAGCTGCTCCTTGGAAGTCCTATACAGGGTCGCTATGAGTTGGAACTGACTCGATGGCACTTCACCACCACAACAGGGAGCCTTGTTTCCCGTGGACAGCAGATTTGCCTAATGCAAAATGTTGTTTGCTTTCTTGGCTGCTGCTTCCATGAGTGTTGATGGTTCATCCAAGCAGAATGAAGTCCTTGACAACTTCAATCTTTTCTCCATTTATCTTGATGATATTTATTGGTCCAGTGGTGAGGATTTTTGCTTTCTTTACATTGAGGTGCAACCCATACAGAAGGCTATGGTCTTTGATCTTCATCAATAAGTATTTTAAGACCTTTCAGCTTTCAGCAAGCAAGATTGTATCATCTGCATATCATAGGTTGTTAATGAGTCTTCTTCTAATTCTGATGCCACGTTTTTCTTCATATAATACAGTTTCTTGATTATTTGTTCAGCATACAGGTTGAATAAGTATGGTGACGGAATACAACCCTGTCACACACCTTTCCTAATTTTAAACCATTCAGTGTTCCCTTTTTCTGTTCGAACAACTGCCTCTTGTTCTATGTACAGTTTCCTCAGGAGCACAATTAAGTGTGCAGGAATACTCATACTTCGCAATATAGTCCATAACTTGTCACAATGCACACAATTGAAAATCTTTGCATAGTCAATAAAGCACAGGTAAACATTTTTGGTATTCTCTGCTTTCAGCCAAGATCCATCTGATGTCAGCAATGATATCCCTTGTTCCACGTCCTCTTCTCAATCTGGTTTGAACCTCTGGAAGTTCTCTGTCAATGTATACTTGTAGCCATTTCTCTATTACCGTCAGCAAAACTTTACTTGCATGGGATAATAATTATATCGTCTGATGATTTCTGCATTCCATTGGTTCCAGGGGGCTTCATGTCTTAGAGAAGCACACTATTCCCAAACACAAGCCCATCCTGAGAACTCCTCTGCTATCTTAAATCCCCAGGTGGTTCTCAGCCAAACTGTGGGGTGATTTCCTTCTGCTTGCATCTCTCCCATGTGCACAGACAAATAAGCATCAGACCCCACACTCACTCCCACTGTGGAGGGGGACAGGTCTCAGACCAGATCTCTCCTCTGAATGTCCACTTCTGAGTAGAAACCATCTGCTAGTCTCAGAATAAGAGTACTGCTGAGAAGAGGCTTCTGTTCCCCATCTTAGGTTTTCCCATGATAATTTTGACTGAGGACAACTGTGGCCTTTAATTCAATTCTACGACATCTCCCTCACTTCTTCATCTGAAATGTGTTCGCTTTCCAGCTTCCTGAGAGCTCGCTTCTACTTTGTGCAGAGTGGGAATATGGATTGGGCCAATTCCAGTTCCAGGGCAGAACTGTGAATGGCAATGTTCTAATGTGCTTAAGACTTCCTACACTTGATTCTCAACTCTTAGAAAAGAATAAATCCTCTAGGGGCTGCTTTCTTGAAATCCAAGAGAAATGCCACCTGAACTATATCCAGTCTACTACCTTTAAAAGAGGGTAAGGGGCACTCATTTGGGGTCAGCTTTGCATTTGAGTTCGGTTCTTTGACTTAGTTGTGTGGTAAGTTATTTAAAGTCTCTGACAAATCCTCAGACACCTCATTGTAAGTTGAGGCTAATAACAGTATCAACCTCATAAGATTGTTGGGAAGATTAAATGAGATAATACATGTTGCGTGTTCAGCTCTATGCCTGAAACATACTAAGTGCTCAGCACATACTAGACGTGACACAGCTGTCCTCTGGGTTTCCCACTGGTGTATACGGTTGCAGCAAAGTGAATTACTTAATATGGCCCTTTATGTGTGCTTAGAAGGAGGGGTAAAGGGAAAATCCCCACTGACTAGTTTTCCTCTTTTCCAGATGGGTCTGGTGAAAGAAATGATGCTGATAAGATTTTGTTATTTCAATTGTAATTGTTAGTAATATTGATCATGATTGTCAGAACTGTAATTGTGGAAGATATGGAGCTAAAAGGAGGGAGTAGTTGTATTTATTTCAGGAACGGACAATCCCAGGACATCAAGAAGGAAGGATATGAGTGGAACTTGGGATCCCTGCCTGAAGAAGCAACGACAGAGGTGGCAGAGTTGGTGACATGGAGCAGCTATGGACTCTAGGCCCATGGACTGAATGTGCCTACGGGTTGGAGATTGGCTTTTGGACATTTATGTGTGCATCAAATATTTCTGATTTGTTCATTCGTGATATGTAAGGGGAAAATAGGGCCAGTGCGTTTTCGGTTGTATGTGTTTTAGTTATATTATGTCAGGTGCAAGTATGATGTAACCTAATATAGGCGTAGTTAGCTCTACTCTTAGGGTCATCCTGAAATGATAAACTTTATGAGGATTTAAGAAGAATAAATGAAGATCAGACCAATAAGTGTAAAAAAAATATAATAAATTATATATATATATATATATACACACACACACACACAGACACACACACACACACACACTATATTTTAAGCCATCTTGTAACTCTCACACAGTGATTGGATGGGTCTGTATACATAAGTGGCCCACCAAGGGGATAACAATGTAAATAAGGCACATGGAACCCTTGTGGGTGGGATTATGCAAACAATTATATAGAATACTAACAAGGGGATTGGTCAGTTTTGCCATCTAGTAAGAGCCAATCTCAGAGACCAGAGAGAGCATCCCACTACCACAGAGACAGAAGAGCTGGAAATGAGTGAGTCCTTTGAATCTGGGGTCTCTACACTGAACACTTCCTAGACTCAGGAGACAGCTGTAACAACCAGATATGGCAAGAAGCAGCTGCAAGCGTGGCAGGATTCAGAGGCAAGGAAAATGGCAACAATAGAACGAGGAGACTGAAACGAGCTGGTGCAGTGGACTTCCCAGTTCACGGAGTGAGGTAGCTAACAATGGGCATGCAGACCTAGGGAGTGAGAGAGCTGAGCAGGTTTGGACCCGACGCTACCTGGCCTGTAGGCACTTATCAGCAGAGCTAACAGCATTGTAACACATGTTGGAGCAGGGCAGAGGCCAGGCTGAGGGGGCCTGAGAGAGGAAGTCTGTTCTCAGGGGGCCAAATTTGCTCCACGTGGCCGCGAGGAGCTGAGAGAGCTGTCCTGCACTGGAGAAAGGAGATTTTATCTCTGTGTTTCCTGATCCCAATCCCAAATTGTAACCTGGTACTTCCCTAATAAAGGAGCCTTGGTAGCACAATGGGGTTCAAGTTGGGTTGCAAGCTGCAAAGTGAGCAGTTCAAATCTACCAGCCGCCCTGCAGGAGAAAGATGAGGCTTTCTCCTCCCATAAAGATTTACATACTCAGAAACCCTAAACAGGGTCGCTATGAGTTGGAACCAGCTCCATGGTACCCTACCATGCACACACTTCCCTAATAAACCCCATAATAGAAAGTATTGTCTGTGGGTTCTATGGACCACTGCAATGAAATATTGAACACTGCAGAGAAGTAGAGATTGAATGAGTGTAGAGATGTATCTAGGGTAGAGTAGGTGGTGCACATACTCTGGGTACCACTTAAATGTGGGTGCCAATGAGCAGTTTTTATTGGCAATGCAGTTTCCATCTCCAGTGGCGAGACATCATTCAGTAAGTTAAAACTAGCTGCTGTAAGTGCTGTTTTCCATGGATATACCTCTGCATAGGGAGGAATGGCTGGCATCAGAAGTAATAAAAAGGTTGGAGGATGGAGGTGAATTTGAGGAACCAGCCTTGGGTTGTTCTTTATTTTTCTCCACTTTTGTGAAGTTAGAGGATGCCAGACACCACACCCTTTTGACAACTGTTTTCTCTTCACTCTGGCTCACCTGGAAGTTTGAGTTCTGCATCTTGTTCTTCACCATCTCTACAAATATTCGTCTCTTTAATACAGAAAGAATAATGGCAACATTTAGCAGATATTCCTCTTAGTCTACTGTATCAAAGACAAAATGGATTCTCCTCAACTTTTCCGATGCTACTCATTTGGAATGTTGAGCCTTGTTGGGGGCAGGGAATGAGAATGTGGGTCTTCAGGGAGGATGGTTTTGAGGGGCAAGGGTGCAGTCCTGTTGAGTCTCTTGGAATCTCTAGATTCCAGAACATGGGGAGGCTGGCCAACTGAGCTAAGAAACCATGGAGGATAAGTCTGCTTTAGCTAGAAGTACAGCCTCAAAGGACAGGTGAAAGAGGCTGCAAATCTTTGGTAGGTTTCTACCTAAGCATCCCAATGGCTCAAATGTGATAAAACCCACAGTGGTTGAGCTCACAGTCAATGACAGTTGGGGGTTCTTGATTAGAAGCCACCGTCACCCCAAATCTAGAGCATATTGTTTCCCTGGGGTTTAACCCATGCTGATCCAAGTCGCCTCTTGCATCTGTCTTTCAGGAACTATTCACTGAAGAAACAGTGTCCCAACAGTGAATTAGGGAGTTGGGACCTCACTCATAACCCAATACACTCAACCAGGTGAATGGGCAATGGTGTCAGGAAGAGGAAGTTCTCAGAGAGCCCTAGGTTTCCACTTAGGTCACCAACCAACCTGCTGCTTATCCCAGCTAAGGGAGTAAAAGAAGTGGTGATGTGGCCCAATGGGGATGGCAACCAATGAGGAGATGGCTCCTCTCTAAGGGAGCTGGAGAATGGTGACCTTGTGGGAACATGGACCTAGTATCATCACATTGTGCAAATCTCCATGAGAATGTCCTATTTTGAAATGTTATTTAACAAATCCCATGAGTCAAACGAAATATCATCTGTGGGCTGTCATTTTGAGACCTGTGCCTCAGGGCCTGCCCTTGGTATCTAGGTGGTGCTCAGTAAATATTGAACTTTACTGAATTTGCTGGGATATGATGTCATCAATCTGTCTTAAGAAGTAGTATCAGTTCCTACATTATACTACCCTGTTGTTGTTGTTAAGTCATTGTTCCTTTTTGCTTTTGTGCTAAGAATATTCTTAGAGATGTTGTGTATTATGTCATGCAATGTCCTATATCTAGGGGAAAATCCAGTTTAGTCTTTGGTCTAAGGAAATTTTAAACATCACATCCAGTGCATTTCTTGCACACTGTGAACTATGGACCAAGTTGTGTTTTCCATTTCTCACTGGCTTCCGAGAAGCTGAGAGTCAAATGCATGGCTCCTCCTTGGTAGGTATGGAGGTGGTGACAGTTGGTACTTTCATCTCTGTTCCTGGCTCCATTTTGTTCCCACCCTTCTTTTTCCCCCTTTTCACCCCACTTATTTCATTATTAGGGGCAGGGAGCCCTCTTACCCAGAGTTCTCCCACCCCTTGCTTTTCCCCTTCTTTTTATGAGCTCATCTCCAAATCCCCAGATCATTCCATACCCAGAAAGGTTGCTTTAATAGCCACAAGTACACTTGCATTTCCTCTCTGCCTTTCTCATCCCAGAATACTGGGCTGGATACTTGCTTGTTTCTAGGACTATTGGTATGAATTGCAGGCAGGGGATGATGTAGAGAAGGGAGAAAGTGAGGGTGTGTCGATATTCCTCGGGCAGTACCTGCTGGCATTTGCATTCCATAAACTCTTACTCTTTGAGTAATAGTAAAATGCTGAGTCTACTTTGTGTCTGATTGCAAGGCTGACAAACCTCTCCATACCTGCCTCTCCTTCTCTTTAAAGGAACAGTTGCAAGATGTTGATTCTTTTGCATTTCTCTGTTGGTGATCCTCTAAACGTTCCTGAGTGAAAATATCAGGTGGGCAAAAAAGTGTTTAGTGTACTCTTACCTGCTCCGTTCTCTGCCACAACTATGGGATTTTAAAGAGATGTTGGGATTCACTGAAATTCATGGACACAAGATGGGATGGGGAGGGCTGAGAGTTGTTTTTTTTTACTTCAATCCTCATCTGTTCCTACATTATACTACCCTGTTGTTGTTGTTAAGTGCCATTGAATTGGTTCAGACTCATAGAAACCCTGTATAGGATTTCTGAGAACATTTTATTTCTTCACCCTTATGTGGATCCAAGAGTACCACTCCGAAACGCCACATCCGTTCTCATCCTATACAACATCTACCAATTTCTACTCTTTTGTCAAAAACACACAAATGACACCGAGGAAACAAGGGTTTTAAGAATATCTGGGAGCAAGAGAATCCTGAAAAGTTGTGAGCTAAGTATGAGGATGAGTCAAAAATTATCTGCACTCTGGTTATATTAATAGGCCTGCCCACGTCCATGGCTGATGACAGCATTGAACGTGCACGTGAAATGATTCTGTTGAATAAATGAGTGACAGTGGATTAGGTGGCAAATCATTTGCAAATCAGCCATGGTTCTGCCTATGAAATAATCCATGACAGACTTGTGTTTCAAAAAGTTTGTGTGATAAAGTTGGGAGTAGTTAATCTTACATTCCAGGAAAGAGGACCCTAGGGCCATCAAGAGAGAAGAGCATGAGCAGAAAGTGGGACCCTATTCAGAGAAGCACTGACATCAGAGATGGAGGCAGAGATGAGACATGGAGAGAGAGAGCAGCTGAGGTCTCTAGACTCATGGAAAGAGAGGGACTGAGGGCTGGCAGCTAGGAGGCAGACTTGTAGAATGTGCCCTTTGGTTGTTTAAATAATTTTATATTCCTGCATGTTTTTGTGTGCATCAAAAAACAAAACAAAGCAGATGGAATAGAAGCAAATACTGTTAAATGATGATGCATGGAGGGGATTGTAATCATTGCAAAATATGATGAGTGTAAAACCGATGTTCTCCCATGTAAACTATCATTCAATTCACAATAGAAGCTTTAAAAAACAAAACAACAGCAACAAAACAAAGGCAAAATAAAGATTGTTTCAGATTAAAAAAAAATTAAAAAATGTGTGAGATGGGTACCAAAACAACTCATGGAAAAGCATAAACAGAAGAGTTTGGACATCTGCAAACAAAATTTGGGCCAATACTTGAGGGAAGGGAAAAGTTTCTTTAAAAAAATCGTTACTGGTGACAAGACATGGATTCATCACTATGAGCCTGAGAGTAAACAGGAGAGTATGGAATGGAAACACCCTCACCAACCAAGAAAAAACTAAAAAGTCAACCCTCAGCTGGAGATTGATGCTGACAGTTTTCTGGGATCCTCAAGGGCCAGTATTGGAACACTAGCAGGAAGAAGGTAACACAATCAACAGAGCTCATTGTAGTGAGTTGCTCACTGAAGAGCTGAAGCCTAAGTTTTGGATTAAATGCAGAGGACTGTTATCCAAGGGTGCTGTGATCTTGCATGACAATGCACATCTGTACTCCTCTGCCCACACTGTTGACACTCTTGCAGAAACTTTGTTTTGAGGTGTTAAAGCATCCTCCCTACAGTCCTGATCTTGCTCCATCAGACTTTCACCTGTTTGGTCCCCTGAAAGCAGCCCTTTGAGGATGAAGATTCATTCACCTCTGATGAAGAACTGAAAACAGATGTGGACTTGTGGCTTGCAGCTCAGCTGAAAACATTTTAAAATAAGGGAATATGAAAGCTTGTGGACAGATGGACCAAGTGTATTGAAAAGTAAGGCGATTATGTTGAAAGATGATGTATTTGTCTTTCCTAAAAGTTGATAAGGAGCTTGGGTAGCGTAGTGGTTATGAATCAGGCTGCGAACCGCAAGGTCAGCAGTTCAAAATTACCAGCTGCTCCGCAGGAGAAAGATGAGGCGTTCTGCTCCCATAAAGATTTACAGCTTCAGAAACCCTGTTCAGGGTCACTATGGGTCAGAACCTATTCAATGGCACTTAACAACACCAACAAAAGTTGATAAATTCCACAACCAGAGTGCAGATAATTTTTGACTTACCTTCATAAAATAACTATGATAATACAAGTGTACCTGTTGGATGATCCTGTTTGCCAGGTCCTCTGCTAAGGGTTTTATATTCATGCCCCCACTGAAGTGAACCCTAGGAGCTAGGAGCCACATGGAAGCATGGCTGTAAGTTAGGTGCCATTTTAATTCTTATCTTCAAGATGAGGGATCTGAGTCAACCATTCAAGATTGAGAGGGCAGCATTAACATAAAGACAAACCTCAGAAGCATTGGGAAAGGAGAAATGAAAACAAGAGGCACAGGGAGAAGGTGGGATAAATGATGTTACATGGAGGGGATTGCAGTTGTCGAGATGAAAAAAAGCGTACGATCTGTTGAATGCAAAACTGATGCTCTGCTCTGTAAACCTTCACCCAATTCACACACACACAAAAAAAAAACAAAAAAGAAAAAAGGAAAGAAAAGATGAAGAACCTGAGGTAATTAAGCAGAGGGAAAGTCAGAGGCACCAGCCAAAATCACAGGGACAAAGCTGTGGCTGGGTTTGATTTGATTGGCGGGGCCTGGGAGGAGCATGGAGCTGCTTCCTCAACCAGAACTAGCCATACACTTGTGCAGTTCTCACTCTTGAAACCCTCAGAAGGACTTGCACGCCTCTGAAATAGCAACTTCTGTGCATTTAACAATCTAAAATTCTAGTCTTGACTCATTTACAAGAAGGGTCTTGGCTGTAGCCCTAGTCGTTGTATTCACAAAACAGAGAAGAGAAACTTTTACAAAAGAGCTGCCGGCTTTAGGAAGACCAGGGAAAAGGGCTCAGGGTTTGCTGAACACATTAGCTGGCGGAAAGTTTGCTGCAACAACAACAAAACATAAAGTAAAAAGAGGAAACAATGTAGATCTAGAACATCCAAATGAAGAAAAAAATCAAGTAAAAATAAATGAAAATAAACCTAACTGTAACTTTGAAAACTACACCAAGCCCTAGCCCAACCATTACCCCTAATACTAACCCTAATCCTAACCATACCCTAACAATAAACGAAGTCTTAGGCCTAATCTAGACCTAGCCACAGTCCTAACCCTCACTCTTTTC